CTAACCCTTTATGTGATCTTCATTTCTATGGTTCTGCTCCTGATCTAGCTACCCTCTTAGTTTGCTTTTGTTTTAGGTGTGGTTGTTAATAACTGTGAGTTTGCTGTCCTTTCACTGTTCATCTTTTTTATCTTCTTTTTCTTAGGTAAGTCCCTTTAACATTTCATATAATAAGGGCTTGGTGATGATGAACTCCTTGAATTTGATCTTATCTGAGAAGCGCTTTATCTGTCCTTCCATTCTAAATGAAAGTTTTGTTGGGTAGAGTAATCTTGGATGTAGGTCTTTGGATTTCATGACTTGGAATACCTCTTTCCAGCCCCTTCTTGCCTGTAAGGTCTCTTTTGAGAAATCTGCTGACAGTCTGATGGGAACTCCTTTGTAAATGACTGTCCCCTTATCTCTTGCTGCTTCTAGGATTCTCTCCTTCATTTTAATCTTGGCTAATGTAATTATGATGTGCCTTGGTGTGTTCCTTCTTGGGTCCAACTTCTTTGGGACTCTCTGAGCTTCCTGGATTTCCTGGAAGTCTATTTCCTTTGCCAGATTGGGGAAGTTCTCCTTTATTATTTGTTCAAATAAGTTTTCCACTCATGGCTGTTCCTCTTCCCCTTCTGGTACCCCTATAATTTGGATGTTGGAACATTTAAAGATGTTCTGGAGGTTCCTAAGCCTCTCCTCATTTTTTTGAATTCTTGTATATTCATCCTTTTCTGTTTGGTCAATATTTGCTCTCTTCTGGTCCACTCCATTGATTTGAGTCCCAGTCTCCTTTCCATCACTATTGGTATCCTGTGCATTTCCCTTCATTTCAATTAGTTTAGCCTTCATATGTTCCTCTAATTTGTGACTAAAATCAACCAGTTCTGTGAGCATCCTGATCACCAGTGTTTTGAACTGTACATCTGAAAGTTTGGCTATTTCCTCATCACTTAGATTTATTGGCTCAGGGGCTCTGAGTTGTCCTTGAGCTACGTTTTGATCTCTTCATGCCTGTTATGTATGAGGAGCGGAGCCTTAGATGTTCACCAGGGCAGGGCCACCCAGGTCACTGGTTTGTGACCCTGTATGTGGGGGTGGGGTCTGAGAGGGACAATGGAGGTCCCCTCTGCTGCTTCTTGGGTGCCACTGGGGCCTGCATGGTCTGTCTCACAGCTTGCTCCTTCACCGGTTTATCTGCACGTGAATGTGTGACCGCAATCAGCCCTCAGTGGGTCCACCACCTTGCGCCCTCAGTGGTCCGCCCGCTACTCCACACCTGGGATCCACCCACGGCTGCTGGTGCACCTGGGTCTCATGCCTGTGTCCGTCCAGTGGATCTTTCCTGCCCGACCCCGCCCTGCTGCTGGCTCTGCCCCTCTTACCCATTTGGCTGAAAAGTTCGTTTTTGTCAGACTTCCGTATAGTTCAATTTTCTGTGGTTTGGATGGATTTTTGTTGCTAAAACTTTGTTGTTTTTAAACTTGGTTGCATGAAAAGCTGCAGTGCTTCCACCTACGCCCCCATCTTGGCGGAAGTCCCTAATATACACTAGATTTTCTAGGAATGCAACTCCCGCGATGATTGAGGAGGAAGTTGTCCTGTGCTCTGTACAGAAACTTGTGTGTCATTTCAGAAACTGCTGTTCATGTGGGCACATCACTCATGGCTCTGACATCACCAACACAGCCACACCTCACGACAGGAGGCACTGACAGCTGTCCCATCCTGCGGCTTTACGTTTAGGTGCAAGTGTTTGACGTCTTCATTGTTGCTGAGCATTAACATACTCAACTGTATTTTATTTTATGATAAGTTTCTTTCCTTTGATTTCTCTGCTGTATTACAGTTAGGTCAATATATTGACTTTTAAAAAATTATGTGTTTAGGCTGGTTATATTATCTCTGCTTTCCATCCTGGGATAGCAAGGGGGTGTGACAAACCTGGTGGGAAAAGAGGCTGTGGGTCTGATGGGCCCAGGGCTCTGGTGCAGAGAGTTCCAGCCTTGATATCTAGCCTTGATTTTTGCAGAAAGCCTCCTCTGGCCACTTTAGTCCCACAGCCCCACCAAAGCCTCTGCTCTTCCTCCTTCTATGAAGCCCTCTGTTGCCACAGTGTCCCGATAAATACATAAGGTCCCCAAAGACAGAGTTGAAGTGGTCACCTTTTATGGCCCTGACAGGCCCCGGAGAAAAGAGCACTAACCTGAGATCCCCGGCCCAGCGCTGATGGGGCCCCCTGGGGAAACATGAGAAAGGGCATCCACAGGAAAGTAATGCAGAGTCCGGAACACCTCCTCATGGAGCATGAGAGGGCTGGGCAAAATGGAGAGGACCCAGACTCAGGACAGAAATTTTGCAACAGTCTTGTCAAGTAAAGATTGATTAGGAAAAAAAGCTAATTGGAAATCACTGAAAAAACAAGGCACCCAAAAAGCAAGTCCCCAGCAGCCTGGGATTGTTGAAAAACAACTAAATGGAAGTCCCGAGCAAGACATGTTGGGGTCTGGGGGCAAATCTGAGGTCATGAGACGGTGATTTCAAGGTGAGTGGTGGAGGCAGAGGGGCATCCTTTGTGAATAGGAGGCTTGGTCCAGCGTGAGCCAGGGTTTCCGTAAGTGAGTGGATGATAGCGCCATGCAGGGTGACTAAGGGGACATTTGCGCCTCTGGAGGTAGGTTCTGTACTAGTGATAACTAGGGGATGACCACACAATCCTGATGAGGGTCCTGGGGTCTTAACTGCAGACAATGGGCCTGGGGGCCTGGAAGGAAAGAAAAATGCTGGAGTCTGCAGTTATTTTTAGGGGTCCCCCAAATGGATGCAATAATCTATGTTTCTTAAAGAAAGAAAAAGAGAGAAGCGGTTAGGTCAGACACATGCTGCATTTTTGGAAAGAGGACTTTCTAGTGTGTGTGTATTTTGAGGGGAAGCATGAAACAAGACTCGGAGGGGGTGCAGTGGGTGTCAGAATTCCTCAGGCAGGTGACTTCATCACTGGGGTTCCAGACTCAGACTGACAAGTTCATATCCTAGCCCGACCACTGAGTAGCTGGGTGGCCTTAGGCAAGTTAATTAACCTCTCTGTGCTTCAGTTTCCGTCCCCCCAGATGGGGACAATAATATTTATCTGGATTGTAAAAATTAAGAGTAATCTTGTATGTATATGGCCATGTGACAAGTGCTGACTAAATGTTTGTTGTGGCTGTAATTACTCCTGAGGAAAGGGCCAAGTCTTATTAGCTCCCACTCCCTCCTTACTGATTAACCAATGAAGGATGGCTTTGGGGACATAAAGGAGAAGCGGGGTGGTGGTGGTGGGGGTGGTGGCAGCAGCGACATATATACATATATGCTCTCCTATTCTTCCCAGAGAAGCCAGGGAATGAAGGTCAAGTGTCCTGATCCTGGTTCTAAATCCACTTTTTAGAGTAGTAAGTGCATTAGAAGTGGAGATTAGCTCCTTGACCCCCAAAATCAGCTAGGTAGGGGACAAGGAGCTAGGTAGGGGATTGTTTCTGTGCAGTCCATACTCCCTAAAACGTTTTGATTAGAGAACATGGTGCTCAGGAGGGATACTCTCTCTGGTTTTATGGATTGTGCATCTACCACTGCTTGATAGCAATCCTGTTGAGAAGAATTCTGAATCCAAACCTAGAGGCAGGAGAAAAGATGCTAAGATGAAAACTAGAGATGTTTGCTGGGAGACTAGCATGTGCAAGTGTCAGCACTGGCTGGAAGGAAAGAAACCCAGCTGGCTCATAATAGCCTGGTCCAACTTAGCCTGGTTCTTGGATGAGGGTGGGGTATGTGCTGGGAGCCTGCCACCGAGAGGCAGGCATCCTGACTTCTCAGCTCTGCTCTACAGGGCTCGTGGCCCTGGGCACATCAACCTTCTCTGCCTGTGTCTCCCCATGTGAAGGCCTTAGAGGGAGATCCAAGAGGGATTGTAGGCATTGTAAGATATCAGGACTGGAAGGGGACTTTGAGGTTATAGCAGACACTGTCAGTGACCACCCCCCACCCCTGGCCCTTTTCCTGGCATGGCTTGAAGCCTGTTCCAGATGCCAGCATTTGTAGGGTTCCCCCCCCTCCACCAAGAGCTTTTTCCAAAGACTGGTGCACCGTCACACAGCAGCTTGGAAGCATCCTCCGCCAATAACCTGGAGGATCATTGTATAATATCCCAGCTGCTTTGTCCCACGGATGGAATAGCTCTGAGATGTGCGTTCTAGGTTGTCTCCTGGAGTTCCACAACGGGAGTGAGCTTGAAGTACCTCGAGAGCTAACTTGTTTAATAACATACCCCTTATTAGTTTCCTTCCCTTCCCTGATTCACTTCCCCGCTCCTAGGGTCACCTCCCAAATGAACTACCTGCCCAAACGCTCATCTCAGGGTCTGCTTTTCCCACACCCACACAGACGTTATCTGGCTGCACCACTTTGTATTACCAAAGCAAGATACTTGCTAGAACACGCTTGTCTGCAGGTATGGGGGTAATGAGAGTCCACCTAGCAGAGCTTATACACAGCCCAGAAGGAATCGGAACATTTGCATCATTAGGGAAAAGTCCCCTTCGCCCCCCTGCCTGGGAAATCTTGTTGTAGGTGGAAGCCCTGCCATGAGACCTCCCTCTGGCTTCTCTCTCACCAGCGGTCTGTTCCTAATAACCCCACCCAAGCACCAGAGCTTCTCTGACTTGATATTTCAGGACGCTGTCGCTTGAAATTAATTGCAACTAATTAAAAATGATCCGGTTAGGACAACTGCACAATGGCGCCCTGGAGACCGCTTCATTCCCTGAGGTTCCGTGGCGTTCGCGCCGCTGCAGCCCTGGTCGGCAGGATGGGGCCATACATCATCGTGTCATTTTACATTGTTATTTCTCTGAAAGCAGCAATTTAAAAGAGTCTCAGATGAACCTTGAGCAACTTTGCACTAAAAAGAAAAATGTTACTGTCCAAGATCTGTAAAATATAACATATAGGCTCAAAGAAGCCACTTGACATGAAAAGCGGCCTTAAGTTTGTGCCGAGATTTGCATATAATATATAACGTTGTTGCGAAAGGACCCACAAAGCAGGCAGTGACTGCAGGGCATCGATCCTCAGCCCCCTTTGTTCAAACTGGGTCACCTACGGTTCCTGGTTATTATTTTATCACAGCCATTCCTCTTGTAGGTGACAGGACAGCATCTAACCCGCTGGGTTCTAGGGGCTGCCACCCCTGTCCCTCAGTTAGTGGAAGGCCCAGGTCCCTCCTGACTCTGACGCTGAAAGCATTGCCAAGTCCCAAACTGGCCTTGTTGGTTTCCAAGCTAATCCCAGGAGTGGTGGTGCTGTTAGGACAGGAGGCACTTTTCAGGCTTAGAAAAAGCCCATTAAACTCAGGGGTGAAGGAGTGGGCCCTGCTAAAAGCACCCTAGCAGCCCCCACACCTCATTTCAAATGAATTTTGGCCCAATGTCCTTGAACTGCAGATCTCTCCAGTCAGGCCACCTGCTGTCCTAACCCCGCTGGCTTCTGTCATCTCCACAGCACCCTTTGACCCTCTCCACATCAACAGAGCCAGGGCGAAGCGGGCCTTAGAACAGAAAGGGACATGTCTGGGAAGCATCTTCCAAAAGTCTTCTGATGTTCAGTCTCGTTCTGCAATAGAAAAAAAAATGAGGTGACTTTCAGGGGTATCAACAAAAATAAGAAACCTCAGCAAAACAAGAAAGGAAAAAGTTCAAAAATTAAATATCAAGATCTTTACAATTAAAGGTCCAGGAGTTCTATAAAAGACTATAAAGATGAGGGGAAAAAATAGCAAGCAGATAAGCACAAAGTTTTATGTGATTACTGAAATTTGGCTCTGGGCTTCCAGGTCAAAGCAAAAAGGAAAATAAGACACACGACTAATTACAAATGTCACATAGTCCTTACAGGAAAGCAGAGCAGCTCCTGGGAAGAAGCGAGACTGGTTCTGCATGGACATCCCGTGGGCCACGCAGCAGTGGGCATCCTTCACGTCCTCCTGGTGACCAGGCGCCAGGCCTAGGAAGGCACCTGTTTGGGAGGCCCAGGAGGTGCGGACCGAACATGCAGTTCACTGATGGTGGCTTCACTCAGGGATGAGACCTACGCACTAGAAGAATGCAAGGACTGACCGCAGCCTCATTTCCAAACTATTCTCCTTGCAAAGTGGAATAATTGCAATTCTCCTTTCAGCTCTGCTTTTGTTAGAGAATGGGCAGCAGACAGTGTGAGCTCTTGTTTCTAACAAAGACCTGAAATGTGGGTGTTGCATGTGGCTGAGAATTGGATCAAGATATACAAATTATAGACATCTGTACAGTGGAATGCCATGCAGTCATCAACAGGAATAAGGGGGGCAATACGTGCTGTTAGGAAGAGTTGTGTAAGATGTCGTTAGGTGAAAAAAGCAAGTTGCAGAACAGTAGGTATTGCGTGATCATGCTTGGATTACAAGTGAAATAATAAAATAACACAGGAAATTTCTGGAAGGTTACATAAGACACTGGTGACAGTGTTGAACATCGGGAGGTGGAATGTCATGGTTCACCTAAGCCCTCCTTACTATAATTTTGTATTACTTTTAGATTGTAAAAATAATTTTTAAAGAGTTAATCAAGAAAACAATGCAGTTCTGTTATGAAGAATGAAGCAGATCAGTATTAATGAAGAAGTAAGATATGAAGGGAAAACCTGCATAAACACATAACCACTGTCCAAAAGTGGTTGTCGTGGAGAGGTTAGCTTATAGCAGACAACTTTCTAAATGAATTGTTTCTATAACTTTTATAATAAGTAGCTATTATTTAATAATAATAATAACAATAATAATAAAAAAATTTTTAAGCCAACCTGGGGACTTTCAGGTTGACTGCCTTTTTTGAAAAGTAAGAAGCCTGACCAAGATTTAGCCAAATAAATGACCACCTTCCCTCTGTAGAGCAGCAGAATCTGCAAACAAGACATGAATTTTTCTTAAGGAAACAATTGGGTTGTCTACTGTGGTACATGAATGAATAAATGCTCTTTTTAAAAAAAAAATATATATATATATATATAATTTTAAAGAGAGGAGAAGGGAGGAAGAGAGAAAGGGAGAGAAACATCAGGTGAAAGAGAATATTCATTGGTTGCTTCTCGCATGCACCCTGGCCAGGCACTGAACCCACTACTCAGTCACGTTCCCTGACCAGGAATCAAACCGGCAACCTTTCACTTTGCAGGACAACACCCGACAAACAGCCACGCCAGTCAGGGCTGAACGAATGATCTTGACCTCAACATTCTGGCCTCACAGAACAATGATGCTCATCACAGAAGGGGCTTGTAGCACCATCCATAGGCTGGTGTGCTTTTGTAAAAAGCATATTTAAAAATTGCTGCTGTTTTACAGTAATATAATATGTTTAAACTGTTAATTAATTTTTAACAATTCTGGATATTTCCTTCTCTTCTTCCACCCCACAGGCTGTCCTGTGCTGCATGCCTCCAGGGAAGAGATGGGGCAGCAGGAAGAGAAGCTATGGCCTGTCCTGGCTTTTACTTTCAAAGGCTTAGGGAAAAGGACCCAGAGAAAGAAAAAAATAATGATCAGAGAGAACATGTCACTCCCAAGATAAGAAAATAAGGATGTGAGAGAGGATCCGGGGCTGGTGGTGCTGAGAAGACTGGGACCAGCCTGGTGAGGCAGCACGGAGCTCAGAGCTTCCACTCTAGGAAGCTGAATCAGCTCAGTATCTATTCTTGTTAAATGAATGAATGCACATATTTGTGTGCTTGACATGCAGGTGAGACTGAACAGAGAGAATCTAGTAGTGACTCCAATGGCAAATTGATATCATCCCGTGGAAAAGAAGGGACAAAAGAATCTTCAACATTCCCTTCCGGGCCAAGGCAGGACCTAGGCTCTCCCCTGCCACTCCAGCCAGAAGCTTTCTGAGGGCAGAAGCTATCTGTCTAGTATGAGCTGAGTGCCCAGCTCAGTCCCTGGCATGTGGCAGATACTCAGTCCATGTTTTCTGAATGGACCAACGCACCAAGGTGCAGAGAGAAGAGGGGAAGTGGACTACACCTTCGGGTGCAGAGGAAAGGCAACTTCAGATGCCGACATAGTCATCTGCCTCTTGCCTCAGCCCTTGGCATTAGCCAGTGTTTTCCAAAGTGTCCTCTGGAGAACTCCAGCACCAGTAGATGTTAAGTGGGAAAAAAAGTTATATGATTCTGCAGTCAAGTAAGTTTGGAAAATGCTGGGTTAAATAAAGTTAAACAGGTTTCCTGACTTCAGCACTCTTAAGAGCCTTTAATTTGTGAAGATGAATTATAACTCCAAGAGAAGGCTTATGTTTTGAAAATGTTTCCAAACTTATCTAACCACGAAACCCATTTTTCAAGGAGAAGAAGGGTTGCACAGAGTTCTCTTTGGGAAGCATGGGCATAACCTCACCCCTATCAGAAATGGAAGGACTTTTGGAGAAAATCTAGTGCCATACTCCCTCTTCACAGAAGACGCAAGAGAGGGAAAGGGACAGCGTGCAGGAAACACAGCAAATCAGAGTTGGGCTGGGGTAGAGTCCAGCCATCTCTGGCCCCCAGGACGCTTGCTGTTTTCAGTCTTGACTTATGGGGATCTGAACCCCAGTTTTTCAGCCTCACTTTGTTCACCTGCATTCTCAGAGTCACAGAAACTTAGAACAGGAAAGCCCTTCCCTGGGAGTGGCCTGAGGGACAGGCTGGCTACTCATGGGTGCAATCAGGTTGCTATGAAGAAGTTGAGAAAGGCTTGGGCATCCTCAAGAGTAGACACATCCAAACGAAACCCTCCCAGGTCCTATAGGCTGCCGGTCCATGAAGCCCACATCATCTCCAGACATGACCAACCTGGAAGGAAAAGGAAATAAGTCAGCCATTCCTCACAGATAAATTGGAAACAGTTTTGTAAAACAAATTTTGTTTGTTTTGCAAACTAAAATGGACTTTCCAGGTCCCCAGTGAGAAAGGAGAAGCAACGACAACAATAATAACAAAAACAACAACAGCCCTCAGAGATGTGGAAGTCCCACTCCTGACCTCACTCTCTGTTTCTGCTCCCAGATTCCTGCCATGACCCAACTCTGGGCTTGTATCCCGTACTCAGGAGCCTAGTGCCCTTCACCTGCACCTCCCTCCCTGCCCGCCTCTGCCTCTCCCTGACATAGGTGTTCCTGTCCCCAAACCCTGGTTTTCAAAATGTGGTCTGGGACCAACACTATCAGTACCAACTGAGTACTTGTTAGAACTGCAAATCCTCTGGCCTCACCTCAAACCCACTGAATAAGAAACTCTGGAGGTGGAGGTCAGGACTCCGTGTTTTAACAACCCCCAGGAGATTTTAACTCACGCTGAAGTTTATGAGCCACTGCCCGAAACTATACCAACTCCAACAAGCAGCTCTGTGGAAAGGTCTTTCCTTGGCCTTCCAGGTCCCCAGTGAGCAGAGCAGGCAACCTCAGTCAAAATTCTGGGAATTCCCTCACACAAGATCGTTAGAGACTCCTACAGCCTAGTGTGTTCCGACCACTTGAACTTGGTGCCCTCTAAATCCTGAAGTTAATTTACACTACGTCATTTCATTAATTGGTCTAATCGATAGATGCAATTTTACAAAACAGACCTGGGCTGAGGAGTTTTTTTAGGCTCCAATTGTAGATATCAAACACCCTTCCTCTGAAATAAATCATGACAGGAAGAGGGCTATCTGAAGTTTGCTTTGGGGAATCTGGAAATATCTGAGTCTTAGTCCACTTAAGCCAAGGTGGAGTCTTTTTAGTGCATTAAGAGAAATGCTTCAATTGAGTGTAATAGCTTGATTCTGGTACATTTGCTTCCCAAATCCATCTGCTTCCTGGGTTTCTATCCAGGTTGACATGGGCACAATTCAATGGTGATCTCTGGTTGCTGCACTGAACTGAGTGATTACCAAGAACATCATTACACAATGCAAGGTCTGCATGGCCCAAAGTGGTGGGCCTTGGGGCTCTATCCTCTTCATTCTGAAGGATAACAGAGCACTCTTTTCCAACCCTCACCCACTACTGGCTCTATCCGTGGGCGGGAAGCCCCTCAAATGTGCTCACTGGAAGGATAAGGTGGCTTGCTAGCCGCTTGTCACTGAGAAATGCGGCCCTGTAAGTCTCCATGTTACACCCACTGTCATAGTCCTGGCTCCTATTGCTGCTCTGTCCCTGGGGGAGGGTGTAGATAACTTGGGCACCCATCTCCTCACTTACTCACCCACCTACTCACTCACTCATCCACACACTCTCTCAGCTGGGGTGGCAGTGTTGGCTGCTGTGGCAGCCTTCCATCCATCCTTGTCATTCAGGGGCCTCTGAAAGTATGCCTGTCAATATAATGCACAGCCTGTTGAGGGGAAGTGACATTTTGAATAGTGGACACTTTTCCAGGAGCATTCATCCTAGGTCAGCCTCATGATAAATAAACACATTTGGCGCTGAAGTCGGCAGACAGGATACAATGACTGAAATGCAAGCACAGACGCAGGACCATGAGGCTGAGTCGATGGGGTGGAGGTGGGATGTAAGGGGAAGGGGGAGAGGGAAGGGAGGCTCCGCTATCAGACTTGGGGGAGAATTTGTTCCCCTTCCTCCTGGTATCTTTAGGAAAAAAAGAAAGCAAAAAGGATACTGCAGTTTCCTTTTACCCTGAACCACAAGAGGGTCCCTTCTTCCTATCACCCCTTCTGCTCCTCACCTGTCTCTCTCCCCTGCAAAAACACCCAGTACCAATCTTAATTACCCCAAACAGTGCCCTAAACAAAGTATTTATAAAGCTTACTGCATTTGTCTTCTTGTTCCTATTAATAAAGTCTGGGAATATAGGAAAGAAATATGGGTGGGTGACAGGGTTTTTAATGGTGCCTCACCTTAAATGCATTTTAAAATATGTAAATCAATAAAAAAATTATTTGTAATAGCAGCCTAAGAGTGCTGGTTAGCCTGGCACAGAGTGAAATGCATGCTACAAGCCCTATTACCATACATCCTGGGAGCTGTAGTTAGGATTAATCTGTCAAAGGGGATGGTTTAGTGTTGATGAATATGACATGTGACCATTAACGATGTTGATTTTATCTCCCGAGATTAGCATGATTTACTTCGGATGGATAATAATGTCATTTGCTTGATGCAGTAGATCTGTTTACGAGCTGATTAAATTGTAAGGCCTTGCCTCATTTCATGCTATTTGGTTTACAGCTTCATTACCACAATCACAAAAGCTGGGGAAATGTCCCACATTCCATGTCACAATAAATCACTGCTTCACGTTGCCGGGATGGATTTTAGCAGTTTTGCCCAGCAAGGACCATTCTTGGCTCCCCACTAATATGTGATCCAGAATACATTAAGGGGATCTTTAAGAACAGTGGAACGAGATGGGGCAGGGATCCTCTTGGATCTTTTAATTGAGATTAACAAAGTCCTTGAGTAATTAGCTGTAACAAATTACCGTATTATTTAGACAGTGAAGTCACTGTTTTTGTTGCAGGGATGATTACCATAAATATGCAGAAAAGTGACACTCAAAAAACCAGAGGGAAGCTGGGAAGCAAATTTTATTTTCACCCTATTATCTTGTGCTCTGGGACAGGGGCAATCTGAATGCAAGGTAGGTAAGAGACCTGCATGTTAGGTCCTCAACCCTGTCACGCTTCTTCAAAGTGGAATGGAACGGGGTGAGCACCACACACCCTACCATACATAGCACTGACCACCTCAGTACCTCTGGTGGGGATGTGGCTGAAGTGTAGGAAAGAGAGAGCA